CCTACTTGTGTATTTTCCCCCTCCCCAGCACCCAAACTAGCATGTGTCTATTCCCTTCTTGTGTATTGCTCCCTCAGCATCCAAACTATGCTGTGTCTGTTCCCTACCCTGAGCTCCACCTTCCTCTCCCTCCTGTAATGCCATCTCCCACATCCTGGTAACCAGCAAAGAATTCCCTCTTTACCAGGGTGCAAACATCCCTCTTGCACCCTCTTGTGAACTTTTTGACTGGCAGAACTCCAGGCCCAAAAGTTAAACTGGTTTTTGGGTTTCGGGTTTTGGGTTTTGATTTTTCCTTTCAATGTTTCATTGTTTTTGTTTGTTTATTCTTTCTTCTTCTCTTTCCATTCTCTTGAATTTTATCTTTTATATCTCTGCTTTTGTTTTTCCTTCTTCTGTTTCTCATTTCCCCTCTTCCCTTTTTACTTTTTGATCTTTCTTGACTACTCTCTATTTTTAATCTTTTCCTCTCCCTGGGTTTTCTAAGTGTTTTTTCCCCCATCCCTTTATTTTTTTTTTTTTATCTTATTTTTCTCTTCTATAGATCCATTTTCTGGTTCCTTTTTTCTCTTTTTAGTTATGATATTCTATTTTCTGGATGCCACCTTTTTTTTCATCTATTTTTTTTCCTGTATTTTCTCTTTTTACTGTTGGTTCTTTGATAGTTTATTTTGTTATTTTCTTGTGTGTGGAGGAGAGCATGGGTGGGGGAGGTTTCTCCTCTTTCCCACCGGACAGAAACAGAAACTGTACCCATAGAGCCCAGTCACAAACATACTCTCTGCAGCTTGAGTTTTGTTGCCTATGCACAGGTATTCAGCTGTGTGAATCATAAAAAATATGTATAGCATTTCGAGGACTGGGTATTCCAGAACATTTTTTTTTGCTCATGAGGAATCTGTGCATAAACCATGAATCTGTCGTGAGAACAGAAGAAGGGATACTGAATGGTTTAAAATCAGGAAAGGTGTGTTTCAAGGTTGTATCTTTTCACCACACTTACTCAGTCTGAGAATAAGGATGGTGAAAATGATCTGAGAAGCTGGATTATATGAGGAAGAACGTGGCATCAGGATTGGAGGAAGACTCACTGACAACCAGATACATGCAGATAACACAACCTTGTTCACTGGAAGCGAAGAGTACCTAAATTTTTGCTTATGGAATCCTTCAATATGGCAACTTGATGCTTGAATTTTTTTCTTCAGTTCTTTCAGCTTGAAAAATGTTAAACGTGTTCTTTTGGTCTTCTAACTTTGCGTATTTCAATATACTTGACTTTGTCTTCTCAAGCTACTCTTGGAAATTTTCTGTTCCACCTTTTCACTTTCTCATGTCTTCCGTTCACTTTAGCTTCTCTAAGTTCAAGAGCAAGTTTCACAGTCCCTTCTGACATTCATTTTAGTCTTCTTTTCTCCTGTCTTTTTTAATGATCTATGGTTTCTTCATGTATGATGTTCTTAATGTCATCACACAACTCCTTTGCTTTGGTCTTTGATCATTAGTGTCTAATGCATCAAATCTGTTCTTGAGATGGTCTGTAAATTCAGATGGAATACATTCAAAGTTGTGCTTTGGCTCTCATGGAATTGTCTAAATTTTCTTCAGCTTCAGCCTGAACTTGCAGATGAGCAATTGATGGTCTGTCCCACAGTCAACCCCTTGGCCTTGTTCTGACTGGCGATACTGAGCTTTTGAATCATCTCTTCCCACAGATGTAGTACACTTGATTACTGTGTATTCCAATTTGTGAGGCCCATGTGTATAGTCACCACTTCTGTTGTTGATGGAGGTGTGTTTTTAGCCTTACCAAGAGGTAGCATATGATCAAGAACTGATGATACTGAAAGAAGAAGTCCAAGCTGCCTTGAAGGCATTGGTGAAGAACAAGGCTCCAGGAATTGATAGAATACAAACTGAAATCTTCCAACAAATGGAAGCAACACTGGAGGTGTTCACTCATCTATGCCAAGAAATAGAAAAGCCAACCACTTAGAAGAGACTTATATTTATGCCCATTCCAAAGAAAAGTGACCCAGTGGAATGTGGATATCATTAATATCACATGTAAGTAAAACTTTGCTGAAGATAATTCAAAATTTTAAGTTCTCTTCACTTTCACCAAGCAAAAGTGTACCCTCCATTTATCACAGGTTGTTAATGAGCCTCCCTCCAAGCCTGATGCCACGTTCTTCTTCATAAAGTCCAGCTTTTCAAAGTATTTGTTCACCATACAGACTGAGTAAGTGTGGTGAAGGAATATAAACTTTGACTTGACTGCTATTCTGCCCCAACCCCAAATGCAAGTCTTGTTTGCAGCTAGGGGTGAACAGTGTAAATATCATTAACTATAAACCAATGAATGAATAGGTGGGAGGAATGATGGATAGATGCATTGATGGGCAGGTGGATGGATGGATAACTCAGTGTGTCTTTCATCCACAGATTTATTCCTTTGCTGGACTCTCCTCAAGGGCTGGGCACAGGAAGTCTGCTCCGAGGCTGGGAGGGGTAGTGATTCCCAGGGGAGGCCAGAGAAGGTCCAGGGTCTCCAGCACCCCCTCTGTCTGAAGGAGGTTACCAAAGATTGTGTGGAGGCAAGGTAGCATCTTACCTCCTCCAACTTCACAAAGAGAAGAAGAATCAGCATCAGCATCAGCTCAAGGTTGATTCCTATGAGACTGAGGTCAGACTCCCCTCCACCCTCCAACCTTCTCTTCCAATTCTGCCTCCAAGCATCTGCCCACAGCACTCTCTACTTGTCAACTCGGTTAAATAATTCAGTGCAATGGCCTCACAGAACTCAGACAAGACTCAGGGTTATGCAGTTTATTAGAGAAGGTAGCAGGTTGTGATTCAAGAGTTGAAACGCTTAGGTCACAGATTTTTAGTCAGGACAGCTTCCTTCTGGCCTGATCTCTGCCCTGCTGAGGCAATGTTGCAAAGCTCCTTCATGCTGCTGATAAATGCACAAAGGTCACACCACTCCACCATAAGCTTCAGCGTGGAGGCGTTTGGCTCTAGCTCCCTGGGTCAGCACACCTAGCTCCCCCAGTTAAGTGGCTGGTGGCACCAGACTCCACAAGCCAGCCTACTGAAGGCACTTAGCTTTAATTGCTCTGTGGGCTAACAGCCCAATACTCTTTAATTCTCTAAATTTTGGTTCAACTGCATCTCCTCTGCCACACCTCTGATGTCATAGCCCACGGAGGAGGTCCAACACACAGGGACCCACTCCTGGGTCTTGTTCCTCAATGGTGGTGTGAACTCCCTTTCTGCTCTAAGGTGGCTCATTTTAGACCCAGCAGGACGGCAAAATTGACCAGTCCCTTCATTGCATTTCCAAAGTTTCACAACCACATTAGTCCTGTTAAAAGTCATCATATCTGCATCATATCATCCTGTCAGCATCTTCTCCCATCTCCTCTAACCCATCTCCATAAGGGAAAAATTGTTCAGTGGAATTTGCACATATCCTAGGTAGAAAAAAGTCCTATAAAGTCATTCATCACAATGCAGAGGCAGAACGTGAAGAGGGGTTGGGGTATGGCTAGGTTATAAACAGCCCTAGGAAACAAGGGAAACTTTGAGGACCTCAACAAAAATTGGTACAGGTGGGATTATACAAAAACAGAAAAACTTCCTCCCCATCTTTTCTCCCATCTCCCACAGGTATGACACAGATGGACAAGTGGGGAATCAGAGAGCAAGGTGGCCTGAGGGAGCTGAACCTAGGCATCAGCCCCAGGGCCAAGTGCAGCACAGAGAAAGGAAGAGAAAGGAGACCACTGCCCACCATTCCCATGATGCACCACCCATCTCTGATAATCATGAATGCCTGACCCTGTCTAAACAGAGCCCTGCAAAGCCAACCCTAGGACAGTGCCCAGCACACTTCCCAGCAGCTGCTTTCTCAGCTGATGATTTCAGGGCAGATGCAGGTCTCCTGGCTGGGAACTAAGGCAGTTGGTATGGACACAGGAGAAGGGTCTGGAAGCAAGTCAGTGGCTGGCCTTGCACGGTGCTCTCAGAGCTCCTGGGTGGTCCTGAGTTCCAGGGAGAAGTTTTCTGGGGGACCCACCTCAGGCTGGAGGGAGTCTGCTGCCCGGGAATTGGAGAATGGGAGGCTGTAGACAAGGAGAATCCCATTAGTGCTCATTCTGAGAGCTGTGGGGCTGGAGGATGGGAGAGGGCAGTTCTCCCAGCCCTGCTCTGAGGAAGGAACTGATTCCAGGGACAGGCACGGTCAGAAAGGCTGTGCTGAATGCCATGAGTGAAAAGAGGATGCCGTGTACAGAGGGAGGACTGTGGGACCTCCAGACAGTGGGCCAGGCAGAGGGCCACACAGCCCCAGCAGACCACTCAGGGACATGCTCCCACGGGGTCAGGGGGACGTCTGGGAAGGCAGTTACCTGTCAAAG